AAAGAAGAGCAGAACAAACAGTCATGAATGGGCCGAGCAAATGAACCAACAGGAGCCAGGCGGACCAGCCGACAGCACCAGACAAGCGGTCCGACAGACCCCAAATGGGAGCTGAACTCGGCGCCAGTGATGGGCGCCAGACGAGGCTGAGTCACTCGTCGGCGGCGCTGGGCGGGGCCGAGTCACTGAGTCATTAGTCGGCGGCCCTGGCCGGCGCCTGCCCGGACGGACAGCGGGCGGGGCGGCCCCGGCAGAGGCGACGCTGCCGGGCCGCCTTCGACGGCCCCTCCCAGACAGGCTGTGCTTCCAGTGGGCGGACACAGAGGCCCAGGAGTGCTCCGGGCAGCGGTACGGCGAGCCGAGGGCACCGGAAAGTGCTCACGTGCCCGAGATACTGCGCTGGCACCTCTCGTGTTGCGCTGGAGGACTGACGGGGATTGAGTACAGATCTGCGGCGTAATTTCGAGATGCAGAAGGGGGCGTGTGAAAACCCGGAGCGCCGTAGGCCGGCAGTGTGCTGCGCATTAGCTAGCGCAGCGGTGTGCTAGAGCGTATTGCAAGAATAATGTAATCGCTTTTTGGATTAGGATATGGGGATATCATGCAGAGATGGACTTCATGTAGTAAGAAATTTGTCGGATTTAATCACCAGATGTATGCAAGAAAATGACAGCGTTCTCGTGCTCTTCTGCCATTTTTGGCGCAAGACAAGATGCCGAAAGTATGAACTTAATTCATCGGAGCACGATCAGTCCACTCCCACAATGCGCAAAGCACAAATAACAGTGTCTGCGTAAACAGAAGTGTTTAGCCAAAATACTCGAGACTACTTACGAAGCATGATCTGCGGCATCCATCACCTCCGGAACGTGCGCCCAAGGAAAAAACTTCGGCTCGAGCCAACTGATTTTCACGGCACGCGGCGGCGGGGCAGCCTGTGGGCTCGCGCGCAGCGTGTGCCATCAGGCGATCGGACGCTGCCCAGGGGCTGCTCCATCAGACCCCCGCCGTCGATCGGCCCCACAGCCCGGCTCCTCCGCAGCGCATCCCAGCGCCGGCGCCCGACGAGCGGCGGGAGGCGTCCCCGCCTCCCCGCCTCCCCGCCTCCCCGCCGGTTCCTGACAGGCCGCCGAGCGCATAGATTACCGCCCCTTGTTTGTCCTGGGCGCGTTCAAACAAGAGCTATCGCATGCATGACGAATCAAACCAGCGGCGGTGGTGCGGAGCGGCGGGGGACGAGCGCGGCCCGATGCGGATCGGGCCGAACATTTGCATCGTTTAGCATGCGGTCGGCGGGCAGTGGAGCGGGCTACGGCGCCGGCCGGGCTCAGGTTAGCCGCCGCCGATGCCGCCCTGTAGAGCGGTGTCAGGGCCAGCTGTGGTGCGTGTCCAGAACGGCCGCGGGGACCGGCACATGCGGCGGCGGCACTGGCAGCCCGGCACGCTCCCGGTCGGCGGCGCAGCGGCCGCGAGGGTGCTGGTCTCAGCAGGCCTCGGCAGCGCCACACGATCCCAGCGGCGAGCGGCATGGCTGAGGCGCGGCTGCTGAGGACGGGGTGACCTTCGCGGCGCCGCATAGGGAGCGCAGATGGTGGCCCTGTAAATAATGCAAGCGGGCCACGGACGCCCTGAGTCGAATGCAGGGCGGCTGCGGTCTGCGGCTGTGGTCAGATTGCTCGGAGTTATGTTTACAGGCTCAAGGGCATGCATATGGGCGGCATCTGCATGCCCGCTGTGCTAATCACGCGCCCAAAGTCCGCCACATATGCGGAGGATCCCTCAGTGTGCGAAAACCCAAGATGAATGTGATCCTTTGCGCGATCTGTGCGGTTTCAAAGAGCGCCCACCCGGACCGTGCCCGATTTTCTGACTCCGGTGTCGATTCGGATTTTTTTTTTTAAACTTTGAAAGGAATCCGTTTAATCCCTCCCAAAATCGTAGTTACGCAGTTAATTGGTTTAGAGGTGGAGGCCGTCTGCACAGTCGTACCGCCCGCGGTTGCCTCAGAACAGGCCTCGTCTGGAAAATGCTGGCATCGCTTCCACCGCGCGTTGTGGACCTGAGCCAGCAGACTTCCGTAACGAGCGGTGATCGGCGCTCATGACGGGCCGATAACGTTGGCCCGGCGACTCTGGTTCAGCCCCGTGCAGCTCTAGTTCAGTGAGAGTCTGTCTGACAGTCTGCTTCAGACTCTGGTTCAGCCCCGTGGAGCTCTAGTTCAGTGCGAGTCTGTCTGACAGTCTGCTTCAGACTCTGGTTCAGCCCTGAGCAGCTCTAGTTCAGCGCGAGTCTGTCTGACAGCCTGCTTCAGACTCTGGTTCAGCCCTGAGCAGCCCTAGTTCAGCGTGAGTCTGTCCGACAGTCTGCTTCAGACTCTGGTCCAACCCTGGGCAGCTCTAGTTCAGCGCGAGTCTGTTTGACAGTCTGCTTCAGACTCTGGTTCAGCCCTGAACAGCCCTAGTTTAGCGCGAGTCTGTCTGTCAGTCTGCTTCAGACTCCGGTTCAGCCCTGAGCAGCCCTAGTTCAGCGTGAGTCTGTCCGACAGTCTGCTTCAGACTCTGGTTCAGCCCTGAGCAGCCCTAGTTTAGCGCGAGTCTGTCTGATAGTCTGCTTCAGACTCTGGTTCAGCCGTGTGCAGCTCCAGCTCGGCGCGAGTCTGTCTGATAGTCTGCTTCAGACGGCTCGCCCTGGCTGTGTTTCTGCGTGGTTGCATGCACCTGGCTGATAAGATAGCCACCTTCTGTGATTCATCGCCTTGTGTCGGTGTAACCTCTAGCGTGTTATCTTGTTCAAACCGAACTCCGTTGTTGACTATGTCCACCGCTTGAACAAGACAGCAGGTCGGAAATCAGCGCCCATTAAAATAATTAGCTTAACAAGCTCACCCCAAGCGGACTTGCAACAAGGAGCCGATAGACGAAGGAAATGTCTTGCTGAAAAAGCCTCGCACTTGCCGCTGATCCTTGAAGCCTGTTTGCAGCGTGAAATACGTGTTTTGAAAGCATTCATATCGGTTCCCATCAGCAGAACCTTCGCAGTCCGCGAGTACGAAATTACCCAACTTGAAGAACGCAGTCAAAACCTGTCCAGCAGCTTATAAAGCGCTCCAAATTGCCCGTTAATTAGTCATCCGCTCTCACCGCGCCACGCTCGTCTCAGCGGCGCCAGCGCTCCATCTGCGCCACGTTGCGGGACGGCCCGCCGTTGCACGCAGACGGCGCGCCTGCAAACAAAGCGGCCGGCGGTGGCGGCGGACGCTGGAGGGTGGCCGCGGCTTCCGGTGCTGGGCGCCGGGGGTCATTACGGCGCGTCTCGGGGGAGACGCCGGTCGCCAGCAGGGCCAGATGAGCAGCCCGAGGTCAGTCATGAGTGGCCCTGCAGGCCGCCAGCTGCAGGCGCAGGACGGGACCGCCACCGACAGGGGCGCGCCCAGAAACAAATAGCGGCAGGACGGGACCTACACCGGCCCCCGAACGGCAACAACGTCCCACTGTAGCCAAACGCTTCGATACCGGCCCCGAGCGGCAACAGCGTCCCACTGTAGCCAAACGCTTCGATACCGGCCCCGAGCGGCAACAACGTCCCACTGTAGCCAAGCGCTTCGCGAGGAATCCTTGGCCATAGTGTCGTGTCTTCTTTTGCTGATCTCTGTTCTCACTGAGTCACTCCATCTGGCCTGGTCGATCGGACGGGTCTCGTCCAGACGATCGGTGCCATTGCCGGAGTTCTCGTCGGTCGCCTTACAGCTATCGCCCGGCGTTCGGGAGTTGCGTGTGATGTGCCTCAGCGAGGCAGCGACCGTTGACCGCAGTGTCACGGGTCGCGACCCGTGACCGCAGTGTCACGGGTCGCGGGGCGGGACACTTACTGCGGAACGTCAGAGTGCTTCTCACCGAGCGGAGCCTGGACACGGAGGGGTGTCACCAGCGACCGATGGTCCTGCGGAGGTCGGACCGTCTTCCAGAGCCCTCAGGGCACGTATGCGGACCTGTGAGATCACGTGGTGATCCCGCAAAGTTGAGGTTCTGTGTGTCAGTGATTCTGATCCATTCATACCACTCGGAGCTCGTGTGATAGTTTGAATGTTGTTGAGACGCGCTTGCAAACGTTAAGTCAATATCATTATCATCTGTAGAGCAGATCTGACTTTTCTGATCTGATCTGATCTGAAAAGAAAAGTAGCGTGCACGCAGTGCTGGGGCAGACAAAGAAGCCACCGATGGCCATCCTCAAAGATGGCTTATTCGCTACCTTTGAGAAAGGACAAACGAACGACTGGAGCATCATCATTCCTGGGACTTCGGTTAAGCGACTCAGGCTGCTGGATTTCACCATGTGCATGTCAAAGTATAACGATAGTTGCTTTCGTCAAGCGCCTCTCCTTTCTAAATTTCGCTTCCCGCGCTGCTTAAATCTGAGCCGGGGACCTTGAGCTGATGCATTATTAGATTGCATGATTTGTAAGCCACAACTACGTCAAAGACGGCCAAGGGGTGTTCAGATCTGGCGGGCTTATCGCTGGCTCGTAGCTGAACAAGCAGGCAACACGTTCTACATTCAAGGCTATGCTCGCTGTCGTCACCTCGGCATACACTTCAGACTGTGTTGCCACACTAAACGGCTCCTGGAAAGCTGGACAGTGCTAAATTGGACCAGAGCTCGGTCCATCAGCAGATACCGTATCAGAGCGGGTCACTTAGCATGCTGCTGCAGCCCAGCCCGCTAAGCCGCGACAGCATGCAGGCTCATATAGGCTAATGTCTGCCCACTAATGGCCGCTGCAGTGCTCTGCGCGGCACGGTAGCATGCCGGTGCTCCTGCCGGCCCGAGCCCGCATGTTTATCACCGTCAGTGTCCACCGTCCCTCTGCCGCGCGCCTCACATCTGGCCAGCAGGCGTCCCCCTCCGTCCCGCCCACTCGGAGCGGCCCCGGCCCGAGGCCTCGGAGTGCGGAGCCCGCGCCGTCGGCCGGCCCGAGCGCTAGTGGAGCCCCAGCGGCCGCCGCGCAAACAGCGCCGCGCCAGCCTCCTGCCCCGTTCTCCGTCACGTGCGCCGCGTTGCGGCCAGATGAGCGCCGCAGAGATGCGCGAGCGCCGGCGCCGCGTGCTGCAGGCGGTGTGTTCGCTGTGCGTGTGCGTGTACCTGGGCGCCGTGGTGGGACGCGGCGCGCGCGTCTCGGCCGCCGACCTCGCGTGGCCCGAGCGCGCGCCTAAGTCGGTAGACGCCGACTACGGCCAGGACTACGGCGAGGAGACGCCGGAGCCCGAGCCCGAGCCAGAGCGCAGCACCAGCCCGCGGTTCGCGTACGTCACGGAGCGCACACCTCAGGCTGATCCGCGGCTCGCCGACGTCTTCATCAGCGTCAAGACGTCCGGACAGTTCCACGACACGCGGCTGCGGCCCATCCTTGACACGTGGTTTCCGCTCGCCAGCCAGCAGGTACGCGCGCGTGCCGCACGCGACACGGGTGGCGGGGCTTGGAGACGGTGCGGTCAGGGATCACGGGATGCATCACGTGCTCGAGGGTGACGCTTTGCGTGGCTCGAACTTTACCACAAGGCTGTAGAAACACTAGGTAAAGTCGAACCGAGACGTTAACACAATGTATAAGACAGACGTTATTGGATGAATGCTGACTTTCGCATGGCTTCGCGGGGAATTACCAGCCTACGGAAAAGGACCCGGCATTGTTTTGATCCGGACTTGCGACACGTGGGCCTGTCAAGAAGTTTGATGTTGGTGAGTGCGTCGACGTAGTTGTTGGAAGGCCCGTGCTGCATGGTTGGTATCTACAGCGGTGTAGAAACTGAGCTTTAAACAGGATAGAAAGCATTTCCACTCCCCATCCGTCTAAGCCACTGATAAGAGCATGTGCCCACTGCCGTTCTTTTTTGCAGTCATGCGTCCCTGCTCCATTTCCAACCGCCGTCGGCTCCAGTCCAGTTGCGGTTCCGGGCAGACGTCACTCTGTCACACCGACCCGAATAGACTCTTGTGTTCTCACGCTGCGTGTAGCCGATGGCCAGCACTCAGAACGTATGGTCTCTCAGACCATACTCGTCACTCAGAACGCCTGGGCCAATCGGGGGCAGTTTCCGGTGATTCCAGTAATCTGGCTTAGATTGTCCGTTATGTGTGGTCCAGCGCAACGATGCGATCCAGATGCTCACGATGCTGTAAACCATCCGACGTCGGGCCGCAAACCATGCCCCGCCCGCAAGGCCATCGGCCTCGAAGTACCCTGTTGGCACAGTTTCCTGGGCATTCAGTGCACATGTATTCTCTCCGCAACTACTCACCACACCACAGGATATCCGCCGTGCCTCGCCCATTGTAAAGACATCGATCGCGTGCGGCATGCGCCGATAGCCGCCGACTTCCGTCCAACTCACAGCGGCCGAGCCCCGCCGGATCAAACGCCGGGCGCGGGTCGAGCCCGGCCGGATCCAACGCCCGGCGCGGGTCGAACCCCGCCGGATCAAACGCCCGGCCGGATCAAACGCCTGGTGCAGGTCGAGCGGCCATGCGTGCGCCGCCACTCCTCCGCCGTGCAGAACGCCGCCGGCGCTCCCACGCCGTCCGTCTCGCTGTTTTCCCACGCTCGGGCTGGCGGGCAGCGCCCGTCCGTATCGTCTATCAAAGTGTAAATATTTACCGAGCGGTCGCACGCTGAGCCGCGCAAAATCGTAGCGGACCTATGACGCTACCCTGCGGAAGCCGGTCCGCGCGGTGCAAGCACGGCCTCGACCGGCGCCGCGCGGCCGGCGTCGGTGACGGCAGATGAATCGGCCGTCCGCCGACGAGACGAGTTGCATGACATTAGCGGGTCTATGCCCGGTTTACTCGCCTGCGCTGTGACGCCCGGCATCACTCATGCTACTGGGCGAGCGGCCGCTGCAGCGCGATCCAGACGGCGGCGGGGAATATATTCGGACTTGACCTCTTTGCGCAGGGGACAAACAGCAGGGCCCGTAACATAAACGTTAACGATGTGCATTATGCCATCGCCAGTTTGTGTAAGCAATGTGTTGCTTTGGTAATTGTAACAAGGTCTTAAAGGTTCGTCGCGTGCTACTTGTTATTCGTAATATTCCTTACCGTACAACGTGTACTGTTTTGGACATTCGGCCGTTGCGAATGAGCCCAAGAGGCCACCTGCACGGTCGATTAAAGCTCGCTGGTCTCAATTACGGGCCACAAGACTGTGTCGGTGTGGCAGTGAGGCGTATCGCGCGCGCGCCGCTGAGGCGCGTCCGCCGCCCCGGCCGCCGGCGGCAGTCACCCCAAATAACGTCGGCGTCCGTGATGTCCGACCCATCGGCTGGCCGGCGATTACGCGCCCCTCGGCCTGCGCGGGCAGCGTGATGGGTGACGAGCCGCGCTCGGCGTCACGCACGGCCGCGCCGAGCTGTTGTCGCGCCGAGCTGCGGGCGTCCGTTCATATGGTATGAGCGTTCGTTGATATGGTATGAGCGTTCGATTATCGTCGGCTGGACACGGACGCGGCGAGCGCGGCAACGTGCGGTTTACGGCGCCGGCCAAGTCAGTCGTAATTTTACGACCGTGACGGCATTACCTGCCTCCAATGAGTCGGCGGCGTGAGGGCGAGGGCTCCGAAGGGTTGCGCAGGGTCGCGTCCTGCGCCCTGTACGATTCTCGCCAATCAGTGGCAGCTGTGCGTCTTCCCACGCCGTCGTCGCTTTATTGCGGCGCGTTGCACGGTTGCAAAGCGGCGGCGCGTTGCAGACGTCGCGGCGGGGATCGGGCCGATCCCTCGGCACCCCGCCGCCACCTGGCAAGCGCGTCGGCCGGCCGGCCGCTCGGCGCCGATAGCGCAGACGCATAGCTCGCGCTAACCGCCGGGCCGTCGTCATCCGTTCCCATCTGTGTTGACGGCGCGGCCCGTCGCATCTCGGCGGCGCCATGGGAACGGGCGCGGCGTGTGAGAATCCCACGGCGCCGGCGGCCGCGCTGCTGCGTTTTTGTTGCACGCCCCCCACGCGATTCTCAGCCGGCGCCGGCGACCCCTGAACCCGTGACCTGCGCCGTGACCCCGCCGCCCGGCCGGCGCGTCGCGCGCGCCTTTGAAGCGGCGCCTGTGCTCATGCTCGGGTGTCGTGCGCGCCCAGCCACGCCGGCGGAGCCTGGACTGGCTGAGATCGTCACGCGCGGAGCTGCGCCGCATGGCGTGACGCGATCGGGTCGGCTCGCGAGCACGAGCGCGCGGGGTGTCCGAAAGCCTGCCTCGCCAGCACGCCGCCGATCTGCGAGACATTCCGCTCAGTGGTGGCGCGGCGGAAGTTCGGGCCTGCCGTGTTTGACGCCACTGGTCACTCCTGAGCCGCCGCCGACCGATTCACGGCGGCGGGGGCGGGGGTCGCCGGTGCGCTAAGTCGCGTGCGTCGGCGCCGGCTCCCAGGCGGCCTTGCGCCGCCGCCGGCCATGGGAGGACCGTGATTGGCTGTCAGGCGGTAAGCGGCGGCCAGCCGGCGCCGACTGGTGACGTCCGTGAGTGATGACGCCACTGGCGTGGGGTCATAGGTCATGGAACGGTCCTGCGGATGCGGGCGCCAGCAGGCACCTTCCCTCCTTGCAGACATGTCAGTGGCTGGCGCTGTCGTGGTAACCGTGGGCCTTTCGTCAAGCGTACCTTCTTTCTAAACTTCTTCCCCCGCAACATGTAAATCTGAGCCGGGGATCTTGAGCTGATGCATTATTAGATTGCATGATTTGTAGGCCACAACTACGTCAAAGACGGCCAAAAGGCGTTCAGATCTGGCGGGCTTATCGCTGGCTCTTAAATGGACGAGCAGGCAACACGTTCTACATTCAAGGCTATGCTCACTGTCGTCACCTCGGTAACCTTTGCTCTCGTGGTAACCGTAAGCCTCACTGTGTTGTACGGCGGTTTGACGCCTCAAATTTAATCAGGATTTCATTTTCATTACACAGGCGATTGCGTTGCCACTGCGCGCAAGACATTCTATCTCCTACCACGCAACGCCGCGTCTGCTTTGAGCGCAAGCCTGAAGCTGGAGCATTCAAAATGGCCTGTTCCCATGCACTCAACGTTGAAGCCAGCTGCTGGTGCCTTTGTGCATGTCGGCTGTAACGAATGTTTTGCTGACTTTGTTAATATGCGCGCCGTTGGTTGCTGATGTGCCAATTAATTCTCGGCTACCGGGCAGTGATTGGCTCCGTCCGCGCCGGAGCCGCCACCCAGCCGCTTATTAGCCAGCCTCCCAAAAACGCTCGCCTCGATCGGTGGCCAGCGTTCGCAGCTGCCCGACTACGGAGGCCGGCAAAAACGCGACCCCGACCCGCTGCCGGGCGCGTCACTCCCGGCGCCGCGTGACCAGCGGCCCGGGTCCCGCGGGCCGCCCCCATCTGCCTCACTCTCTCTCCCCCATGTAACGGGAGACCAGGGGACTGGGAGCGATGGACCGGACCAGGGAGCCGGCCAACGCTGTATTCGGTGTCACGTGATAATTAGGCACCAGCATGGGGTAATGTGAGCTGATGGCGATTGGGGAGGGGCGGGGAGCCCGGCGCTGGCACAAGTGTTTGCCATTGGAGGGCTTCGCGCCGCACTTTCAAGGTCTGCCAGCACGTAAATGAGTTTTCACAGATGGCGTTATTGTGCGTGCGCAAATGTGGGGGTGCCACCCCTGCAGGCGGGTTGTTTGCGGACTGTGATGCCGAGATGGACTGGTTGAGGTAGAAGGGTTTGTTGTACCGGTACGCTTGTTTTGTGTTTCGTTGCCTTAACGTGTTGCTTGTGCGCTCGAGAGGTTGTTGCGAGCGTTACGCCCGTAGGAAGTTAAATTAATGACCTGAAATTGGAGGTAACTTTCGATAGAAATTTACAGCTGCCTATTTTGCAACTTTGTTTTAGTTTATTTTATCGCTCACGACCGAAATTCGCGGCCTATTATATGAAATCTGAATAGGTTATTTAAGACGCACAAAACCGGCATATTCCATTTAATTTGAGTCTGTAACGTCTCCATTTAATCACGGTCTAAAATAATGGCTTTAATGCACTCACTATCTGCTGTGTCTTCGTGGATTTCTCTAATGAGAATATCCATGTAATAATGGCCCGTTTTATCTCAGAATCGCCGCCGAAAATTATCGCCTGTGTAATTAGGCTCTGAGAGCTGGCGGTCATAAACTGAGCTCTGGAAGTCATATCACTGATAGCCGGCCCGCCGCGCGATCTCCGCCGCCATCTCCAAGGCCGGGCTCCGGGGTCTCGCCTGGACCAGATGCCGAGATACAGGGTCGTCTCATGCGTCAGACGCCGCCGCCCGGGCGCCGCTTCTGTCGCAGCGGCGTTCGCGGCGGCCGGGCAGCAGCCGGGCGGCGGCGACTCCCTCCATGGCGTAGTCGGCCGCCTTCTCTGCCGTGTGGCTGACCTGACCCTTACATCGGCTGGCAATGGTTTCAGTAGTAACCTGCGTGACACGTCTGGCTTGCCCTGATTCAAAATGATGGTGACGCTGGATCAGGTGCACATCTTCGGGGCCGAGCCGACTATATCGATTATGAGACATTACGAAAGTAATATAAAGCTTAAATGCTCGGTGAAAAAGTCCTTAACTGATGTTCCAGACCTCCGTTGGTCACCTCGGACACGATGTGTCCACTTGTCCATTGGCACAGGGTTAGTCACTTTTGACACATTGAGCCATCCGCAGGAGATTGTTCAGGAAAGCCCTCTGGGGGAGGGGGGGCACGACCGAACAGCCCGGCTCTTGTCACCGGGGCGGCCCGCGGAGTGACGCACCTGTACAGGGGCGGGTCGGGGTCGCAATTACACCGCCAGACCACCGGCGGTTGCGGAAACCTGTCAGTCGGCGGGCATTCATTACCGGCCGTGTCCGCTAAGACCCCGGTAATTTGGCGCGGAAATCGTCCCCGCGGCGACGGTGGCGCCGCCGGGTGGCCGCCGGCGGCGACCGACCTTTACCCGGGCCGGCTTGATTGAAACGAGCCGCCGACAATGGCGAAGGGGGGGAGGGGTCAAGACCACAGGGACACCCCGTCGACTCGACCTCAACCCGGAACCAATGCGTTTATAGGAGGAAATTAGAAAAGGAGAGGCCGCTACGGGGTCCGATGTGTGGTTTGAAGGTGCCGACAGCCGACGAACGGACGGGCCCGGGCGGCAGACGCCGAATGGGACCGACGTTAATTAGTTTTCCTTGCTTCCAGACATGGTTCTTCACGGACGTTGATGACGACGCGCTGCAGCAGAGAACAAGTAAGGGCTGCGGTCTCGGTGATTGCCTTTTATAGTTCATGGACGCATGGCGCGTTCCAAAATGTTGGAGTTAAAGTCCTTTCAAAATCGTTTGTCTTACACATCACGACACATGCTGTAGTGTTGATGTCAAGCGTCCCAATCCAAGGCTTGTCGCCGGCGCACCCTCGTGCGTCCTCGCGCCATCTCCGGTGCGTCTCTTTACTTATCCGAGTCGCAGGCTGGTCCCCACCGCGCGCGAGCCTTCTGGTGAGCTCTGACCTGCGCGCTGTAGTGACCGGCTCAGGCAGTTTCAGTCGGGCTCATTGACCGGCAAGCCAGCGGGCAGATATCGCCCGCTGGTTTGCCGGTCGGTTTCTTATTCTGTTCTGTTGAGTTCTGAACTCTGTTGAACTCAAACAAACAATAAGCCCTGCTTAAAGGAAATATAGTAGCGTCAAAAATGTATATGTGATGAGTGCCGTGGTCACATCTAACCCCCCCCCCCCTCGCAGATGGTCACGTGATCAACACCAACTGCTCCTCGTCTCACCGGCGAGATGCGCTCTGCTGCAAGATGGCCGTCGAGTATGACGTGTTCATGGATTCCGGCAAGAAGTAAGCTTCGCTCCCTTGTTCTGGGGCACCGTCAGCTTTCTCACGCAAAAAGACCGCCTTTGGCAGGCGTTTCGTTTCTGAGTTGCACAACAGTGGAATTGTGATGGAGTTGTTTGTTCCACGCCTGGCTGGTTAAAAATGTGGTGAAGGTAAGGCTTGGAGGGGTCTTCCTGCAAGAGGAGTGCAGTTATGTGCGTTGTGTGTGCGCGTATAAGGCGCACCGAACTCCTCACTTTGTCCAGGTCATGGCGGTACCAACATCTAACGACAACGACATGACGACTGACAACGACGGACAGCGACATGACAGCGACTGATAACGCCATGACAACAGCTCGTCCGAGTCAAGCTTTCCTTTTCCTGCCGAAGCTGCGTTCTCTCATGCTCGACCCGGTCCCCATTGTCAGCTGACGGCGGCGGGCGGCGGGACCACCCCCTGAGGTGAAGCCCGCCGCCGGTGGGAGGTGGGCTCGGCCCGCGGCGCCCGCGCAGCGCCGGCTTTGTCTGATTCCGCGGCCGTGCCGACAGTGTCCGGCGCTGTCTACTGGGACGGCCGACGTGTCGCCGCTCCAGCCAGACACAGGCCCGGCGCTGTCTGCTGGGCGGCCGACATGCCGCCGCTCCAGCCAGACACAGGCCCGGCGCTGTCTGCTGGGGCGGCCGACATGTCGTCGCTCCAGCCAGACACAGGCCCGGCGCTGTCTGCTGGGGCGGCCGACATGCCGCCGCTCCAGCCAGACACAGGCCTGGGACTGCGGAGCGGCCGGTGTAGCCGGCCGGACACCACCAAAACCAACAGATGGCAAACGAATGGACAAATGTTGTGTGCTTAAGCTTCTTTGAAACTGGCGGATCCCGTCATCTCATCACTTCGTCCACCATCTTATCCCTTTCTGATGATTCTTAGTGCAACGAGGAGACATTGGATAGTACGACCCGCGTGCCCGTACAGTCGGTCAGCTGCGACCTCACCGTTGCCACGACGACCCGGTCCCACAGCGGCACGTGACGACAGACTTTGTCCGCCGCCTGCACCGGGCCGCGAAACAATGCGCGATGTCCGAGGCCCGGTGAATCTGAGGCGCAAGGCAGGCAGAATACGCTGTCGCCTCCGGTCTGGAGTTCTCTCAGGAGCCCTGAGCAGGCTGTTCAGATGCCTCTTGCAACGCTAGGCACTGCTGTCCTTGTTTAGAAACTCGAGACTGCTGAATATTCAGCATATGCTGAAGGGAATCTAGTGCACGGAAATCGGAGCTGTTCGTTTCCGTCGCCAGTCCGTCCAGTTCGGTTATCAGCCTGTTCAGCGCGGTTATCAGCCTGTTCAGCGCGCTTATCAGCCTGTTCAGCGCGGTTATCAGCCTGTTCAGCGTGGTTATCAGCCTGTTCAGTTCGACTGCCGGCCTGTTCGGTTGTCCTGTCGGTGTGTTTAGCTCTCGTGTCGGCGTGTTTAGCTCTTCTGTCGGTGTGTTTAGCTCTCGTGTCGGTGTGTTTAGCTCTCGTGTCGGTGTGTTTAGCTCTCGTGTCGGTGTGTTTAGCTCTCGTGTCGGTGTGTTTAGCTCTCGTGTCGGTGGTGTTTAGCTCTCGTGTCGGTGTGTTTAGCTCTCGTGTCGGTGTGTTTAGCTCTCGTGTCGGTGTGTTTAGCTCTCCTGTCGGTGTGTTTAGCTCTCCTGTCGGTGTGTTTACCTCTCCTGTCGGTGTGTTTACCTCTCCTGTCGGTGTGTTTAGCTCTCCTGTCGGCGCGATCAGCTCAAGCGATGCCGTTTCTTGGCTTTACTCCCTCGGCGATGACCCTGACGCATCAACTTTGCGGTCCTCGACCACAGTCAGGCTTAAGCTGCTGTAGCAATGACATCGGTCAATGTGTCTTGATTGCCATCCAATGCCGTCCTCGGCCTTATCTCGATGATTTTACTGCGCTATCGGCATCTGGGTCCTCCACGGGCGCTGGCGATGGCGCGGGCCATGACAGTGACGCTGGCGCCGCCCCCGAGCGGTGTCCGGTGGCTCCCGGAGCTGACGCCGCCCTTGAGCAGTGTCCGGCGGTTCCTGGGGCTGGCGCTGGCGCCGCCCCTGAGCGGTGTCCGGCGGCTCCCGGAGCTGGCGCTGAGGCCGCCCCTGAGCGGTGTCCGGTGGCTCCCGGGGCGCCGCTGCCGTTATGAGGCGGCGCCGGCTGCAGCCTCGCTCACCTTAATCACCTTGCGGCTACAGCCGAACGCTTTTATGCAGGTGGGAGCGAGCAGCGGCCGGAGACACTCTGAGTGATCTGGTGGCGGGAGGCAGCGCGCCGGTGATGTCACGCGGCCGCGCGGGTGGCCCCGGCGTCCCGCCGACGTGCTGACGTCCTGCTGGCGCCGGCGGCTTCTCCGCAGACGATCTCGCCGGTCCTGGGCGGGGAAATCCTGCGGTGGCCAGGGAGAGGTGGAGGCCTCTGCAGGCGAGGCGCATTTCACGACTGCAGTTTGTTACGGCTGCGGAAAACCGCCCTGTAAAAGTCCGGTCGTCTGTAAATCGATTTGCTGCGCCAAGCTTAAGTCCTTCAAAGAAATTGTTGAGGTTTCTCCAAGAGCGCCTGGTCATGAGGCAAGCAACCTCATCACTGTCGGCATCTGACCACATGGGCGCTGCATGTACTCGAAAACAGCAGAATCAGGGACTAAACCGCCGTAGGTGCTAGTTGGCGGGACCGCTGTACGGTGCAGCTGGGCGTCGCCACGTTGCAGGGTCCGCCGGTGGCGGGCGGTCCGGGGGAGGGGAGGGGAGGGGCGGGGTGCGTGCTGCGTCACGTGACTGCCGTCCCGCCCCCAATCGAGCGGCGTGAGCGCGCGGCGGCCTCAGTAGCCGATCCTGCAAATCACCGCCGTTAATTGTCACGTTTAATTGTAAGCTTGTTGTGCGCGCGGCGGCGGCCGGCGGGGGCGGGCGCCGGCGTGTTTTGCTCGTGACTCGCCTCGTCCGCAGCCCCGGCAGGACTTGTACCGGCGAGAGGGGGCGACAGCCGCCGCCGCAGCTGACCGCAGCTGGCAGGGCCTAGCTGGCCCCGGGGGCGCTGTTACGCAAGGCTCGGTGGAGTACGGGACAAGGCAGCCACTCGGTGTCCGGGCGGGGTATTTGATTTAGCCGCGCCAGCGGGCCGGCCGCCGCGCGCCGCTCGGCATTCCTCCATGACACTTGAATGTGGCGCGCGCCACGGGGCGCCGCAATTTTTTGGCCCTTTTTGTTCGTCGCCCAGCAGGCAGCGTCCTTTCATAGTATTTATCGGGACGGGAGAATGCCGGCCAGCCCGGACTCTTTTGAGGCTAATTAAGAGCGTATCACTACGCCGTAACACTGGCTTTTAATCTTCGTCGATGGAGGACGGGGTCTGATGGAGGCAATCTCGGTACGAGTCGGAGGCGCGCGGTGGACTAGAGAAGCCTGGTCTCGGCGACTTGGGGGTTTGAATTGGTGTTTGCGTCATCTTCAAACGCAGACCGCCAAGACCGCTAAAAATGCGGGAAACACAATTTTTGGTAAATGCAGCTTAGACCTATAAACCTGCCAACATTGAATCTGTTTGCAGGACTGCACCGATTATTGTGAAATGAGTGGAGAAGTCGTCGTGGGTTCAACGCGTGCTTAATAACAGAGGTACAGAAGTAAGCTTTGGGGAGCATTGAACATGTGGTTAAAGTTTTTTTCCGTTTCAACAACTTGTCTCATAAACAAGTAAACGACGGCTCCCTGTATTTGATTGGCCTTTGGAGACACGATTTACTTTGCTCATCTCTCTGAAAAATACTTCTAAAGGGAACTCAAGACATTTGAGCACCCACATCTCGGTTGTAAACAGCCTTTCCGCAACGATAATGTGGTGACCAAAGAATGGAATACAAGACCCTGGACTATCCGTTCTCCGTGTTGATCCATTATATTGTGAAAGCTCATGCTCCAGGGAGGGCCCACCGGCTGGCGAGAGCGATTTTCGGCCACGTTTTTCAATCGGCCATCAGCGCGGGCGCTTCAACGGCGCGGCCGGCGGCGCGTCAATGGAGTTGATAATGCTGCGGCTGCCGGCCGTCTCACGTCTGGCGTCCGGCGCGTCACCAGGTCTCCATTAATACCGATTAGTCACAGTCGGCCGCCGGTGCGCGCCGCCACGTCGCGCCTCTCAATGGGGGCCCCGCGCGCCGCCGGCCGGACCGCAGGAGAGCACACTTCCTGTCGAAGATGTGAGCGGACGCGGCTGGCTTTGTCGGGTCCGGCGCCGCCGTGCTGTTGTGCTGGGAGGTGGGATGGCGGCCGGAGCGGTGAGCGCGGCATTTGGCCGGGCTGCGGCCGCCAACCGAACCGTAAACACCTAGTCAGAGGCTCGATTCTGTGACGGCAGCCCGATTAGCTAGCGGGCGGTGGCCACCCAACTGATCGCTCAGTGTCTGAGAACGGGATGCCGCCGGGCCCCACCGCCGTCACGTGGCCTGTGCCGGCCCCGCTCACCTCTTTGTCAGCTCTCCACACCCGAGCGGGCCACGTTCCGAGGCCCACACCCACCTGCCGTCTACGGAGGCTCGCTGTTTGTCCTGTCCTCGCCCCCCCCCCCTGCTCCCCGAGCGACGCGGTCGACCCTCGTGGTCCACCGTCGCTCCGTCCGGAAAAACAAGGTTTTGTCGCGGATTAATGGCGTCGCTGGGGCTGAATGGTGAGGCGACCGCTCCACACAGGTGCTTCCTGGACCCGGGCCGGGGTTCGCCGCCGGCTTCGGAGGCCGCCGCGGGGCAGGTCACGATGTCCGCTGGAAGTTGTCCCCTCCCCCTCAGTCGGCATCCATCGCACGGGCGCTGATGGTGTGGTTGTTCGTGGCCCGCGGGACCTGCCTGCGTCCACCAGCTGCGGCGTCAGGTCCTGCCGAGGCTGGAAAGGCTGGCTGTCTCCCGCTGTCCGTCCGCATGCTCTGCCGGTGCTGGAGGCTCGGCTGTCGTCCCCGGGTCTTACGCGGCCGCCGGAGGTCGCTGCTGTCGCGCAGGCAGCGCCAAACAGATGCGCTGCGTCGGGGAGGGTCTGCGGGCGCCCACTGTTTCACCAGTCGCCGTCGGTTGGAGGTGGCCTGAGTTGCGCTGTCGCTCAGAAGGACAAGTTCCACGATTGGAGGTGGCCTGAGTTGTGCTGCGGCTCAGGAGGACAAGTTCCACGATTGGAGATGCCCTGAGCTGTGCTGCGGCTCAAGGGGATAAGGTCCACGATTGGAGATGGCCTGAGCTGTGCTGCGGCTCAAGGGGATAAGGTCCACGATTGGAGGTGGCCTGAGCTGTGCTACGGCTCAAGGGGATAAGGTCCACGATTGGAGGTGGCCTGAGCTGTGCTGCGGCTCAGGAGGATAAGGTCCAAGGGGATAAGGTCCACGCGGGTTGACGGCCCTCAGAATGTCTGCGGTCATCTCCCTGACATTCCGAAGTTTGTCCCCCGCCGTGGCCCTGATCTTTATCCCCGGCCCCCGTAGCCGCTCAAGCAGACATAAATCAATAAGTGGTGCAGGCCCGCGTGCCGCAAACATCAAAGCTCGGCAGAATGGGTTCAGCGGTCCGGCAAACGCATTCATGCATCGCTTCTCCAAATGATATCCCACTTTTGTCCGTGGCTTGGATATTGTGTTTGTCAAATGAGCGGCGATGTATTGCATAAAAGCGGGGCCCGTGTTCTGAACGAACTGGTGTGTAATCAGCGGGAAAACACATACGCCAATACGCCGCCGTGGCGCTCCAGTGCGCGGCGAAGGGCGGTCTGCTGATAATAGGTTGTGGATTGCGGCGATGCTGTTGTGCGTCTGGTATGTTGAGCGGCCGCTGGGCACCGTCACCACATCTGTCCAGCAGCTGACGTCAGAGCTCGACTAAGCCCGCCTGCCTCGCCCTGGCGGTCACCTTATCCGGCCCGCCCTGACTGCACACCGACTCTCCTTCCTGGAGTGACTTATCTGACCTGACCTGACCTGACGTGACCTGAGCTGACCTGACCTGACCCGACCTGACCTGACCTGACCTACCTGACCGCGCACCTACTGACCCCTCGGGTGGCTCTAAACCGACCCGACCTTGCCTACTCAGCCTCCCCTGAGCTGACCTCTGAGCTGACACCAACTCTCCCCTGCGTTCACAGGTGGTTCTGCCACTTTGACGACGACAACTACGTGAACACGGCGCGGCTGGGTGAGCTGCTGGCCGGCTTCAGTCCCCGTCAGGACTGGTACCTGGGCAAGAACTCGATCCGCACGCCGCTGCAGATCATAGACCGGGCCATCAGCGGGGTGAGTATGCGACGATTGATCGGATTGGCCGCTGCTCGGCACGCACCAGAAGCACTCACAACGCATTATGCTTAGCTGTAAGGGAACGCACTCGCTTTTCTTCAGCACTCAAATGCATGTTAACTACGCCTCGCCGCATACCTGAACGGGCCTGCTGACTAACAGCTGCCGTTTTCGAGAGCCAAAGTAAGAGCCAGCTAGATTAAACGTCAGGTAGATTGACGTAGCCTCCTGGATTGAACGTCGGACAGACCAGTTTACCAGTAACTGCAAGCAAGCTGCTCATCGGGAAATGTCGGGCGTACACGCCAGAACAGGCGTGGGATCTTGTGTGGGAGGCTTTCTTCATCTGCCAGTCATGCTCTTTCTTAGCTCCAATCTGGAGGTGACGCAAGTAGCGGATGCTGACACATAGTATCGGCATAATCCAGCCAGACGCTCCTCTAAGCCCCCTCGATTTCGCCACCGCCCTCGGTGCCTGTTTTTCACCTCGTCCGCTCGCTCCGTGCGGTGTTGTTCCGATTCCGGGTATGAGCTCGCGAACTGCTGGCCGCCGCGTCGTCTTCGCTCCGGACCGTCCTGCGTCAGCTGTCCTCCGTCAGTTGGGCCATCAGGCGGCGGCGAATCATGACGCGGCAACGACAGATTGGCCGCGATCGGGACGAGGCCGGCGCGGCCGTGGCGGGTAATGATGCCTTGTTACCCGCGCTAACGGCGCTCGGCCGCCGCGGCCGCCGCCGTTACTGGCGCCGGTGGCGCCTGGCTGCCGCCGTGACGAACGTGGCGCACGATGACGGTGTAGCGGCGGCGAATGTGGCGCTGTTGTTGGCGCGCCGCCGCGATGGAATCTCGATCGATGTTATCGCGGCCGAGACGGGAGGCGTGTCGGCCGCGGCTGTCGGCGGAGCGCTGAGTCCGCGCCCGCGTGCCGCGAGCAGAGCGAGCTCGCTCCTGCTCCCGCCCCAGTTCCAGTTCCCGCCGCCGCTCCCGCTCCAGGTCCCGCTCCAGGTCCCGCTCCAGGTCTCGTCCGTGCCGCTGTGAGCGGTATGCGGTAGGCTCGCTATCAGTCCGTCTCACCACTCCTGCAGCATCACCACTTCTGCAATCGGGATCAGGCGAGGAGGAGAACGGACCAGTCGATTTTTACGCCTAGTGGATTAACCCGGCCGACAGCCTGCCTTCCAGCGGGTTTAGTGCGGTGTTGCGCCCTGCGCTGTTGGGAGGTGGGTGAAGGCTGATCCTGCCGTGGGCGGAGGGCGGACGAGTTCGACGGGCGCAGAGTCAGGGCGTCGGCAGCTGCCTGGCCCCAATGTCGATCCTCCCAGCGTCAGCCGGCACAATGGCCGCTTGTGTCAGCCATTTCTCGGCACTGTCCGGTCGCTGACGGTCGGAGCGCATGCTGTCCCATTCTCGGCTCGGGGCGTGTTTACACGCCGTTACTGTCACTCAGCGGCGGTGTCAGCTGGCAGCTGAGGGTGACGCTCGCGTAGCCGACGACGGCCTCCCTGAGGTATGTCTGCCGTGCCAGCCCAGGGGAGCTCATGAGGCAGGGCGTGCGTGTTACATGTGGGGCCGATACATGTCCTGAAGGGTCAGTTCTTACGCTTGGTAGGAGCTGGAAGGGTCAAAAGCGGGCGGAGAAAGGGGAGAGAAAGCAGCGAGTAAGACTGCGCATCTTGCTACGGCGTTGTGCCCATGGGCTTCCCAATGCCATGGGCGGTTAGCGCGCCGAACAAACGCCATCCTCGTCAGGTTGTGTGTTCAGGCCGCGTGTTCAGGCCGTGTGTTCAGTGTTCAGGCCGTGTGTTCAGGCCGTGTGTTCAGGCCGTGTGTTCAGGCCGCGTGTTCAGGCCGTGTGTTCAGGCCGTGTGTTCAGGCCGCGTCGGCCGGAGTTACCGTGGACTTGCGCACATCCTTCTGCTCCCGGTCGGTGTTTACGTCTGCTGGCCGTGAGCCCACGGAAACCTGTGTTTGGACAAATGCGACAAGGGCAAAGTGAGTAAATATACAGACGGACGGTGACGTCAGGCAGCCAGCCGGAAGTCGGTCGCCTCCGCGAAAACAAAGCCTGAAAAATGTGGCCACGGTCAGGGATGGACGAAAAATGCGCACCGTCTGTCATGGCGGTATTTATCTTGACATGTCATCTGGCCGCGGCTTTGTCTCGTCGCAGCGGCTCGCCCCTTCCACCCTCCTGAGCGCCGATCAATTTTCCACCTTTGTTCTCCGCTGTCGACGCAGGTATCGGTGGAGAGGGGACGAGCAGGTGATGGTTGAGAGGCCGGCGGGCCGCCCGGCGCGCGTGCCGAATCGCAGCAGTGGTCTGACCTGGCCCGACCTGGCCTGACCTGGTGATGGCTGGAACTTGGTACGTGGCAGGTCTGCTGAGTTGTGAAAGACTTTGGAAGTACAAAGAGGGAAACTCTGATGGGGAAGAGCATGTCAGCTGTGGCTCCGAACTGATGGAAAGCTCGATTCCACATTTGCTGGTCTTGTTTTTATCAGCTCTGCTGTTAGCTCTCTGTTCAGGCCGGGGCTAGAGCCCCGCTGGATGCGGAAATATGGAAACGTAGAAGTGCCATCCGGTGGGCGGCCCCGGTCGGGTGTCTCCGTTGTGTTGTGTGGCGCTGTCTCCGTTGGTCGGGTGTCTCCGTGGCGCGTGTTGTGAGTTACGAATGAGTAAGCTGCCACCGGTACACCGGGCGACACTGCCGCACTGGAGGCCCTACACCGGCTCACCATCGACCCCCGACCCCTGACCCCGTGCCCTGACGGAAGTGGCGGGCAAACTGCAAAACCCGTCCGGGGTGCGGCGCCGGGTGGATCTTCGCCACAGCCGGTCGGCGGGTGGTGACCTGTCCCGTCCCGTCCCGTCCCGCCCGGTCCCGTCCCGCACCGGAACCGGTGACAGCATTCCCCGCTAATTACCGGCTCGGTGCGGTTCGGCGCCAAGGCGGCGGGCGTAAATCACCGGTTGCGCAAACCATTTGCACGGCGACATGACCTGATCCCGGCTTACCGAGCGGCCCCCACCGGTCTCCGGCGCTGGAAGCGTATGGGAAAATGATTGCACGCTGTCGGCGCCGTTTTTCGAGCTGAAATCTGCGGCGGGCGCTTCTTTGATGCTCAACTGGAGACTGACAGCGCGGCGGAGAGGACCGGTCGGATCTGCAGGAGAGGGGGAGGGGCTGGGGCGTCGTGGTGAGGCTCGTAGTAAGAACAGCGAATACATTTTGGGGCACGGAGGGCGGAACCAATGGAGGCCTTGGGTTTTTTGAAGAAATGAGACGATTGTGCATTACTTTTGCTTGAAAAACGTGATTTGACATCACATGCAAACACTCATTATGTTGACGCCGGCTGCGTTGACTCAGGCATGAGCTTGTTTTCATGGAACAGTGAACTGCGCTGGTGTCTCGCCCGAGAATCTCAGTTGGGATGTCGTGTGCAAACACTCGCGAAGTCTGCACCGTTTTTGTGAATTTGGCATAAGCCAGTCTACGCCGACAATTGCTTGACGTCCTTTTCGCACACCACCTAATCTTTCCCAGCCTGACGGAAAAGTTGCATGAATGAGAGTTATCCATGCGACCCGTGTTCATGTACCATATGTGCATTAGAATGGCTAACTCCATTGGTGTTATATGCTCACTCGGTGGGCTTATTCAGCGTCCAATGACCTAATGCCGTTCGCCTAACCCGGTGTCATCGCAATGCTGTGTGGTTGATCAACTGAATGTTCTGTTGCAGGACCGGGTATCGTTCTGGTTCGGGACGGGCGGCGCTGGCTTCTGCATCAGCCGGGCCCTCGCGCTGAAGATGTCTCCGTTCGCCAGGTAAGACACGCTACGGCCCCAACAGTGGTGGATCGTCTATCAAAACGCTGATACGAATGCAGACACAGTCGCACATCGCGAAACCTTTAGGAATTCAGGAGCTTATCGCACGCTCCAGCTTGGAGCGGAGTCAAATGGGTGGACTCAGTCGTTCTACCCGCATCGTGCAACGCATCGCAGCAGAGGAGAGGCATCACGGGCCGCATAATCTGAGGCGGTGCCGGGGTCCGGCCGAACGCCCCCCCCCCCCCCCCCCTCTCCCTCTCGGCTGTACTGGATCGCCCGGACGGGCTGCAGGCGCACGAGGCAGGCTGTCCCGGCGCACCGCGTGCAGCTTCACCCCATCTGCACCCGTCCGTCGCGCTGCAAAATTTGTCACAACACGTGACGGACATGTCCTGAGGTCCCCCGGCTGCAGCCGCCAAAAAAAATGCGTCGCCTTGAGAAGAGGTATACGCTGCACTATGGCGAAGTGCCCGACGGCCTATTGTGACGCCGAGATTTCACATGTTGTAATGTAAGTGTCGGCACTGTGCCAGTCTCATCCCCTTTCACGAGCAGGAAAAGTAGTGCAGCGGCAAGTGAGATTCTGGAATCTCTACTCCACAGCCGGCGCAAGGCGATTTCGGCTGTAAAAAATGGCGCGTTCTCCGGTGGCAGTACAGGGTAGATTTATCGTCAGGGAACAGCCGCTTGCCGCGCGATATTACACGTGCCCCGCGTTCTGCCTGCCGGCGTCCGACGCCGGGTGGTGATCGCCGCCGGCGGAAGCTGCTAGCGTCAGCAGGCGGCGGCCAGCCAGCGGTCGGCGGCGTCGAATGGCGGGCCGGCTGCCAGCTGAGGCAGCGCCGACAGCCGGCCATCGGACCGGGTCACCGGGTCTGACTGCCCGGGTCTGGTCATCCGGCTCTGGTCACCGGGTCTGGTCAGTGGGTCTGGTGTCCGGGTCTGACAATCCACACTGCAACAGTTGTTTGCGTCGATACTGGTCAAAGGATGCAGAGATATGTGTCTTGTTATGTAGTTGCATAATTAAGATCAAGACAGTGACTTTCAAGTTGACTTTGTCCCTCCCCCTTGCGTCGGTTTTCGGTTCGACGATGACCGGCGCTGAGACACCAGCCCTGCCTGCCAGGCTTTCTCCTTTCCGCCGCCCGGGCGGCCGGTTTGAACGGGCGCCGCCGCGGGCCGTAGCCATGGCAACGCGGCGCGACAGCTGGCAGCCGTAAAGCGCGCGCCGGCCGGCCGGTGGCGGCCTGGCCCGCCGTGCCTCCGCCCGGCGCCAATTTCGGCTCGGCGGCGCGGCAGATTGCGGGCCGGCTGACCTCGGGCGCCGGGCGGCCGGGGACACGTGTGATGCTGCGAACGGCCTGCAAGGCTGACCGGGCGCGGTGGCTGGGGCGGCCGCGGCGCTCACCACCTGCCGCCGCGGAATCCGGGCCCGGCTCCGGCCGGCGTCCGGGCCGGGCGTCACCGCCGCAGAAACGGCTGACGGCTGACCACCGGCGGACGGACCCACTCCCCTCCCCCCTCCCCCCCGCCCCCCTCAGATGGCGGAACCCTTCAGCTGACGGCCTTGCTGACGAACCAACGAAACATCAACGGCCGGCTGACAGACCGGTTCCCAAGCCAATGGGCCTTGCCGCCTGGCAGAGGCGTTTGCGTGAAACTCTGTCGAAGGACGGGGGACCGCCCTCCACAGGGGAGGGGGTGTGGTGGCTAGCGCTCCGCCGCCCGTAGCCTGCCTCCGAAATGTTCGCCGGCGCGTGCAGCAGTGTCACGGAGGCGCAAAGCGTTCCGCCGATCCCAATCCGCTGAGCTGACAGGCCCTGATCATATCATCAGGCCCTGATCAGGCTGGCAGGCCCTGATCATATCATAGATCATCGCTGCAGACAGCGCGGACAGTGAGCCTCCTGTACCGCCGCTGTGGCTTCCTAACAGTGAGCCTCCTGTACCGCCGCTGCGGCTTCCTAACAGTGAGCCTCCTGTACTGCCACGGTGGCCCCGGACAGTGAGCCTCCAGTACCGCCGCTGTGGCTTCCTAACTGAGCCTCCAGTACCGCCGCTGTGGCCCCGGGCACTGGGCGGCTCCACAGCAGGGACCAGCGGTTAAGTGCGAGATCACGCAGTCTACGCTCCGCTCGTTTTCCGCTTCGGCGGCTTCCCTGTTCCAGACAACGTCGGTATAATCCGGTTTAGTGAGCAGCCGCTGAGGGTGTGGGCTAACGTTGTGTTCGCTGGGTCCGGGGACAACTAACGTGCGGGTGGGATATGCAAATAAGGCATGCATTTCGTCAGAACTTAGTGTACCGCATGCCGTCATTAGCGCAGCCTGTGCAATAACATAACGCGCAAAGGCTCGTACTAGAGTGCTTAGTGCCGCATGAAATTGCCTAGGCCCGCTCGGAGTGTCCCAGCCTCGGGAACAGGCAGTTACGACGAATTGGCGAACGCTCTCGATGGCTATGGCGGCCCTCATGGAATTGCCACCGACGAATAAACGAAACTAATGAAGATGTTGGATGATGTCTCTTTGGTGATCTTGGATGGGGGAGTGCGCTGACAAATAGTGCCAACAACTACGAGTTTCTTTCAAATTGGGCCACTTCCAACACAAAAAGTGTTTTGGCTCTACCGGCCTGATTGCTTTGCGGTGTTTTTAGTCCGTCGAGGTTTCGGTCATCATCACATGTGCTAGCACTGGGAAGAGGTGGGTGCGTCATGATCGCCTTTGACTGTGGCCGGGCGGGTACGCTTTTGAAGCTGTTGTCATCTCCCTCCCTGTCCCGGGCGGATCTTCCATGCCACCGGGTCAGAAAGGCTTCGTCTTGCCCCGCCCCGCCACGGGTTTTTTTTGCTACCCAGCCGATACCTCTAATGGGAAATCCTAGCGAAACCATGATAGTCATCTCCTCCACAAAACCTGCTGGCATCGCACGCAATTCTCGCCGAAACAGCGAGGTTCGCCCGCGGCTGGACGGCCGGTAATGGCGTGCGGTCGAAGCAGGTGCGCGCCGACTGTTTGGCGATACAACAAACAGGGCCTGATTGCGTTACACTGGGGACAGTGGCGGCCGGGGAGATTGTCTCGCTGTTTTGAGGACGATTCTAATCCGTCGGCCCACGGCGATGTCATGAATACGCCTCAACTTCCCCACTTTCCTCTCGATTGTTATGTGGACTCCATCAGCGACGACTTCATCGGTTAGCGCGCGAAACATGTGACCGATCCGGTCTGCCGTGAATGTGGCTCGCTCATCCGCCCCGCTGCGTTCCCTGTCGCTGTTCCCTGCGGCGATGTGCCGACTCCCCGCGACGAGTCGTCCCTCCGCGGCGAGCTGCCGCGGCCGTCAGCCGTGAGCTGCCGCGGCCGTCAGCCGTGAGCTGCCGCGGCCGTCAGCCGTGAGCTGCTGCGGCCGTCAGCCGTGAGCTGCCGCGGCCGTCAGCCGTGAGCTGCTGCGGCCGTCAGCCGTGAGCTGATCGCGGGCGGCGCGGGCGGAAACCCCGCCCGAAACCCCGCTCGGACGGAAACCCCGCCCGGAGCCCCGCTCGGACGGAAACCCCGCCCGAGACCCCGCTCGGGTGGAAACCCCGCCTGAAACCCCGCTCGGACGGAAACCCCGCCCGAGACCCCGCTCGGACGGAAACCCCGCCCGAAATCCCGCTCGGATGGAAACCCCGCCCGGAGCCCCGCTCGGACGGAAACCCCGCCCGGAGCTCCGCTCAGGCGGAAACCCCGCCCGGGGCCCCGTTCGGACGGAAACCCCGCCCGAGACCCCGCTCGGGTGGAAACCCCGCCTGAAACCCCGCTCGGACGGAAACCCCACCCGAGACCCCGCTCGGACGGAAACCCCGCCCGAAATCCCGCTCGGACGGAAACCCCGCCCGGAGCCCCGCTCGGACGGAAACCCCGCCCGGAGCTCCGCTCGGGCGGAAATCCCGCCCGGAGCCCCGCTCGGGTGGAAACCCCGCCCGAAACCCCGCTCGGACGGAAGCCCCGCCCGGAGCCCCCTTCGGACGGAAACCCCGCCCGAAACCCCGCTCGGGCGGAAACCCCTCCCGGAGCCCCGCTCGGACGGAACCCCGCCCGAAACCCCGCTCGGGCGGAAACCCCGCCCGAGGTCCCGCTCGGGCAGAAACCCCGCCCGGAGCCCCGCTCGGACGGAAACCCCATCCGAGCATCGGCACACGCTTCCAGGAGCGGCGTGACCCTGGAAGCGGAGGTCTCTCACGGTGACCGCAGTATATGCAGCCCGCCATTCACCTCTCTCCACAATCTCATAGCTCTGGGACGGCCAGGGCCGGCCGAAGGCGCTCTAATCCTAACCAAATCCAGCAGAGTGGTTTTTGTAGCACGCAATCTGGTACCGAGCACGTTTTATGCCTTTCACAACGCCAAGCTCTCCAAATGTCTTTATTCTATGTCATAGCAAAGATCGCAAGCATTAATTTCCAGCTGACCTCTCCTCCATTTCGCATTTACTTCTCCACTTCCCTCAAAGACAGTATGGTGTTGATCCGACAGCAGGGAAGGCACCAGGAGGCCTCAGATCCTGCCCGTCGGCACCACCGCCGCGCGCTGTGCGCAGGCTGTGGCGCCGTCCCTCCGCCGGGCTCTGGCTTTGTGTCCCCGGCTCACGACGTGGCTCCGCCTTTGTTTCAGCGGCGGACGATTCATGCGCGTCGGCGACAAAATACGACTTCCTGATGACGTCACAATGGGTTACATCATCGGTAGGTGGACAGTGCGACCATCCATCTATCGGCTGTTCGTGGACGGCGTAGAGTCGTTGGCGTTTGGGGACCTTAACCAAACTTTGTACTCAGCCAGAGTAGCGTCGCACCAGTCATCCCGTGAGATTTTACAAACCGAGATTGCAGTTACCTTAAACGTTATCTCGAACGTGCCCGATGCGAACGCCGGCTCTGTTTCAACTGTACACGCTGCTCACCTTGGGCGCAAAATGGCCCTAGCAGTTGACGTGCCCTTGAACCCCAATCAACAACAGCAAAAGAGACTTCTATCAGTGTAAAGCTGTAATGTACAGTGCAGTTTGCTGTCGTTAACCGATGAAGGCCGCCGATGGCTGGACGGCACTAGCGTCGCGCCCTCCGCGTGTGACGCCGGCTGGGCTCGGTGGGGGTGCCGGCTCTGACGTCACTGCAGCGGCGCTGACCGTCGGCCGCCGTTGCAGAGCACCTGGTCAAGACGCGGCTGACGGTGGTGGACGAGTTCCACTCGCACCTGGAGCAGATGAAGTTCATCCGACCGGCCGAACTCAGTCAGCAGGTACGCAGCAGCGCAGCGCGCAGCAGTCAGCAGCGCCCTGTCCAGCTGGGCAAGCCTCTCGCCGCACACTTCGGGGGGGGGGGGGGGGGGGGGTGGAGAGAGTAAAACAGTGGGCTCCGGCGAGTTTGGGAGTATAAGCCCGCCGCGCCTGAAGCCCATACTGGGTGAGGCGGTCCCTCTCAATGTTGACAGGCGGCAGAATTTGAATTGGTATTTGAATTAGTGCATAGCCTACTAGCCGTTGCAGGGTCCCACGTCGGCTGTCACGTGAGGCGCGATAAAGTTTGGCGTCGCATGGGGATCGATCCCGTGGTCCCTCAGAGCGGCGCCCCCGTCTGGGGTGGGAGACTGCAGCCGCCCTCACCGGCGTGAGGCGCTAACACCAGCCGGGCGGCGACTAACGAGTCGGGCTGCGCGGGGCGGCGCCGACAGTCGATTCACGCTGTAATTGCCGCTCGTTGCAGTGCAGGGGTCGCGCGCGGGGTCATGGGAGCGCGCTGCCGCAGACGCGCCGGAAGTGACCGGTTTCCGCCGCCGTGTTTCAGATCTCGTTCAGCTACTCCAAGTACGCCGACGAGATGAATGTGGTGGACGTGGACATCCTGGATCAGGAGCAGGACCCCACTAGGTGAGATGCGGCGACAGCTTGCGTGATCGTGCTGATGTGCGCCTCTTCCAGTTCATTCGGCAAACACCACCTTCGATTGTATAGCGCTTGCAGCATCTGCTAGTGGCGCGAACACTAACGGAATATCCTTGGCACCCGCACACTTCAAAATGATCTCTGGGCTTCCGTGCTATTCCGTAACAAGCCGGCCAGAACGTGTACGATATGAACGCCTTTTAAAGGGAGCATTCATGACTTCTGGTCTCCGTTCGTGATCCTGTTCGGTCCGCGTGGAGCCTGCGGTATTATTGTCCTCCGCTCTCTTCATCACCCGCCGTTCCACCTGCCGTTCAGGTAGCCTTTTTTCTGGTCCCAATTGGCCGCGGCCGGCCGTGGGACGGGTTGCCACTGCCTCACATCCGCTCATTAAGCGGCCGCAGCCCGACCGTCCCATGGTCTCGAATACCGACGGCCCGGCCTCGGCGGCGCTGCCGGACTCGCCGGTTATCGCGGCGCGGCCGGCTCTCGTCAGCAATGCGTCCGATCTGTCGCCGGGCGTTCCATCTCATTAGCGCATAGCTGGCCGGCTGCCGCCCGGTCACGGCGTCCTCGGCTAATTAACGGAGATGGCCGATAGCGCGCCGACCGGCCCCTCAGGGACGGCCGGACGGATGGCGGCCTCCTGCCTGCCGCCGTCCCCTCGGCCCCGAGTCCGGCTGGAGTCCCCGCCGGAGTCTTCCCGAGTCCGGCATGAGTCCCACCGGAGTCCTGGGCCCGGCATAAGTCCCCGCCGGACTCGGCCGCGCCCCAGGGGGCACACAGTTCAGGTCACACCGCCCGGGGGGAGGTTTTTCGGGCGCGGCCGGGCCGTCACACGGTCGCTGGCTAACGCCGGGTGTCGCCGCTGTCCGGCGACGCCCACATCAATGGCGTCGGACGGCGGCCGGACACGGTTTTTGCACGGCCGGGCCGGGCCGGCGGCCGACGGCGGGGCGTCGGCTCGGAGGCCGCCTCGCTGGCGCGGCGACCGCATCGGTCACTGGCGCCGGCAGCCCGGACGTGAGGAGGGCGAGACAGCGCGTGCGTGTGGGCGTGCTGTTTTTGCCGTCCTTGCGACTGGCCGTTGGAGTGTGGTTTTGTGTAGCGGCCAGCGTTGCAGTGGTCTTGACGGCGCTCAGCGTGCATTTTGAAGGGTGCTACGGTGCGTAGTTTCTGCCACGAGTCATGGGTGGATCGCAGAGGGGCAGAAAGTGGGTTCTCTCCGCTGTCCGTTAGTATCGGCACTAGAGCTCCTGAACGTCCTAACGCACATGTTCTCTTTCCCAGATTTTACTCGCTGCACTGCCTGCTCCACCCGAAAGCGTCGTTTTGCCCGCGCTGACGTCACCACGGGTGTCGTCACGTGACACAGGGCTTTCAGCACTCGCAGCAGACACCAGGCCGGGCGGCGGACCTGTCCGAAGCGTCACGTGATCACCGGGAGCACTGCGGCCAGCCTGCCGGTGGCATCGGTGCCCAGTGTTGTGTTGTCATGCCGCCGCCGCCGCGCCGCGGGATGGGCGGCCAGGAGTCACGAGGTCAGTTCTGCTCGCTTCGGCGCTTGCGCATGCTCCGACCGTGCTCTCAAGCACGGCCGCAAGAAGTGAGGACGGGAAGGGCGCGCACTGCGCCGGGAATGTACAGGGTATGTGGCAATAGCGACGCAGTTCCTCCGCTGTGATGGCTTCAAGTGTCGCGACGCTGTCCGCTCGGTGTGCTGGCCCCTTACTTAGCAGCTCACCGCCGCGAGCTCGATGATGGTAACGGCGGGCGACTGCTGCCGCCGCCGAACCATGGCCGGGCTCGGCCCGTGTCTTGTCAACAGTGGATCGGATATCGCTATATCTCGGCCAGGTGCAGCCCGTGCCCTGTCGACGGTGGACCGGACACACGATGTCCTCGATGTCCGCGCCGCGTGGATCGTGCTCTTCCGCGGAGCGTTCTCCGCCATCGCGTGCAATAGTGCTGGACAGATCGCGAACTTATCGGCGTAGTGATGGTCAACAGGTGTTTATCAGTGTAGCCGTGGGTGTCGGCGTGGCGTGCGCCGGTCGTGTTTATGCTGTGCTTCTGTGATAGCGCATCGGTGGACTGTGAGTCATGGGTATACAGAAATACATTGCGTCATTTGTCGACTGGTCTGTGCTTGGGACGGACGGTCCGAGGTATGCAGAATGAACGCGCGCCGCGTGTCGGCGCAGAGCTCCAGAACACGGACGCTGCTGACGTACAGCCTACGATCCATTTGAGCATTTAAGAACCTCAGTCGACGTTCACGGAAACATCCAGTGACGACTTCGAAATCCCAGGTTAAAGCCTGCGGTGAAATGAAGCCCAGCCGCGAAAGCGTTCTCAAATCATGCAATGTAATTCAGCCAGATTCGGTTCGAGGATTAAACGTTAGCGCAACACGTGGAGACAGTGTCACAACAAACCGCAAGCGCGTACTGAGCATGCAGGCGGAGAGCCTCCGAATCTGCTCGCCCAATTGGTGCAATCATCAACATAGCATAACGTGAATGTCGTCTGGCAGCTCCGCTTGCGTTGTTGGCGCGGGGCGCTTCGTGCCCACGCGAAAATCCTAACGAAAGGCCATGCCTGAGGTTGCTGAAGACAACGACACTAGCGAAGTATGAGTTGGGCGGTAAGAGCGCCGTCTGCAGCCGCCAGCCAAAATCAGTGGCCAACAGCCCGGCGGCTGGGCTGTCCCAGTGGCGAGCCAGTGCGCTGGCGGAGCTGTCCCAGTGGCGAGCTAGGGTGCTGGCGGAGCTGTCCCAGTGGCGAGCCAGGGCGCTGGCGGAGCTGTCTCAGTGGCGAGCCAGTGCGCTGGCGGAGCTGTTCCAGTGGCGAGCTAGGGTGCTGGCTGAGCTGTCTCAGTGGCGAGCAAGGGCTCTGGCGGAGCTGTCCCAGTGGCGAGCTAGGGTGCTGGCTGAGCTGTCTCAGTGGCGAGCTAGGGTGCTAGCTGAGCTGTCTCAGTGGCGAGCAAGGGCTCTGGCTGAGCTGTCCCAGTGGCGAGCTAGGGTGCTGGCTGAGCTGTCCCAGTGGCGAGCTAGGATGCTGGCTGAGCTGCCTCAGTGGCGAGCAAGGGCTCTGGCTGAGCTGTCGCGGTGGCGAGCTAGGGTGCTGGCTGAGCTGTCTCAGTGGCGAGCCGGGGCGCTGGCGGAGCTGTCCCAGTGGCGAGCCAGGGCGCTGGCGGAGCTGTCCCTGTGACGAGCTAGGGTGCTGGCGGAGCTGTCTCAGTGACGAGCTAGGGTGCTGGCTGAGCTGTCTCAGTGGTGAGCCGGTGCGCTGGCCGAGCTGTCCCTGTGACGAGCTAGGGTGCTGGCGGAGCTGTCTCAGTGACGAGCTAGGGTGCTGGCTGAGCTGTCCCAGTGGCGAGCCAGGGCGTTGGCTGAGCTGTCCCAGTGGCGAGCCAGAGTCAGAGTGCTGGCTATCCCGCGAGCGGCCCTCAATGTGACCCGACAGTTGCCGTCCCAGCACGCAGTGTCAGCAGCCGCCGGCGCTCCGCGGCAGCCACGACAGCCACGCTCTCCTGGTGAGCTGGAGAGGGGCGAGGTCAGCAGCCGCCGGTACTCCGGGGCAGCGACATCAGCCGAGCCCTCGTGGTGAGCTGGAGAGAGGCGAGATCAGCAGCCGCCAGTACTCCGGGGCAGCCGCTGCAGCCACACCAGCCACGCTCTCCTGGCGAGCTCGAGAGGAGCGAGGTCAGCAGCCGTCGGCAGGTGACCGGAGCCGCCCGCCCCACTCGACTGGTAGGAGCGGCACCGGTCCGCTCCGCTGGCCAGCCTCGCCTCAGTCGCCAGCCCTGATTGGGAAGGCGGTACGAGCTGATGCTGCTGTGATTGGCTGCTAATTGTGCAGTGGCCGTGCTCATGGTGAATCGGTGGGCATGTAAGTGCGAACATTAGCTCACTGATGGCGTCCTTAGCAAATGTATGCAGCCTGCGCCTGGGTGAAGTCATTTGCGACTATTTATCAGTTTGATAGGGACAACACAACTACTTAAGCGTCGGTCAAACGCCACTAATTAGTTAGCGACGTACCCCAGCTGCCAGGATCAGGACGCGGACTACGTGACTCTCCGCCGGGCCTGTCACGTGACGCTCTGTTTACCTCGGCGCCTGGGAGCGGCTAACGGGCTTCCGAACCCACGTGACCTCCGCGGCCGCCCGTTCCCACGGGGTGACGGGTCACGTGACACCGTTCTGACCTCGCCGTAATGGCGGCGCTGCGTGGCGTTCATCACGTGGTGCTTGCTAATGGCGGCATTGACGTTACAGAGACGGTCGGTGCGAACTGGCAGGTGAGGTGTTATCCGGCATGCTTTTGCGGGACCAGAGCCCCCTCCCTAATAACCTGTTTTGGGGATGAAGCTCATGGCGACGTAGCGAAAAAATGACCTCAAATGGCTAAAAATTATTGTAAGGGTGCTAATCATGAGCGGAAATGACGCCGCTGCTGCTGGACGGAAGGTCATGGCGGCAGTACAACTCGCAACACAGCGAGCGTGCAGACCAGACTGGCGCTGTTGGTGCTGCAGCGGGGCGACGACAGGCCGGCTGGTCAGGCCCACTGATCAGGTCCACTGGTCAGGTCCACTGATCAGGTCCACTGGTCAGGTCCACTGGTCAGGTCCACTGATCAGGTCCACTGATCGAGTCCACTGATCAGGCCCACTGGTCAGGTCCACTGATCAGGTCCACTGATCAGGTCCATGGTCAGGTCCACTGATCAGGCCCACTGGTCAGGTCCACTGATCAGGTCCACTGGTCAGGTCCACTGATCAGGTCCACTGATCAGGTCCACTGATCAGGTCCACTGGTCAGGTCCACTGGTCAGGTCCACTGGTCAGGTCCACTGATCAGGTCCACTGGTCAGGTCCACTGGTCAGGTCCACTGGTCAGGTCCACTGATCAGGCCCACTGGTCAGGTCCACTGATCAGGTCCACTGGTCAGGTCCACTGATCAGGTCCACTGGTCAGGTCCACTGATCAGGTCCACTGGTCACGTCCACTGGTCAGGTCCACTGATCAGGCCCACTGGTCAGGCCCACCGGTCAGGCCCACTGGTCAGGTCCACCGGTCAGGCCCACTGGTCAGGTCCACTGGTCAGGCCCACTGGTCAGGCCCACTGATCAGGTCCACTGGTCAGGTCCACTGATCAGGCCCACTGATCAGGCCCACTGGTCAGGTCTACTGGTTAGGTCCACCGGTCAGGCCCACTGGTCAGGTCCACTGATCAGGTCCACCGGTCAGGCCCACTGGTCAGGTCCACTGGTCAGGTCCACCGGTCAGGTCCACTGGTCAGGTCCACTGATCAGGTCCACCAGTCAGGCCCACTGATCAGGTCCACTGGTCAGGTCCACTGATCAGGCCCACTGATCAGGCCCACTGGTCAGGCCCACTGGTCAGGTTCACTGGTCAGGTCCACCGGTCAGGCCCACTGGTCAGGCCCACTGGTGGTCGGCTGTATTTTGTCCGGTTTCTGTTATCGATCGGGGCGTATCGTTTAGAAAGTCCTTCATATCGACAGAGTTTGCATATTGGAGCAGTTGGCAGGGTTCTCATCATGCCTAAGCATGGCACGCCATGCTCTGCTTCGTCTTTAGTTGTGTTCTTAAGCCGCCCAGCACGGCTCCCAGAGACACCGCTTTCGTCCAATTATCCCCGTTACCATCTCTAAAATCAAGAAGACCGGTTCAATTAAGACAGATGAAGTCGGGCATGAAAATTGTAATGCTGTCTCATTAGACGCGTTTCGCCATTGGAGCGCAGCGATTTATTGCATCTGCATATCGAAGTGAGAGCATTGAGGTGTGCTGCGGTGCTGCAAACAAGGCGAGAAGCTCGTAATCTGCTGCTGTAAAATCAGCCAGGCGATCGCGCCAACACTCAGCTTTCGCCCATTTGTCTCTGCTACCGTAAGTGCCGATGTTCACACGCGGTGGAGCGGATCTGACGGCACCGATCCGTGACCTCTCAGTGACCGATCCCGTGACCTCTCAGTCGTCACGAGTCTCAACGCCCTGCGCTCCCCTGCGCCGTGACAGACGGGTCAGTCGGCTGATTACGGTCGGGCTGGCGCGCTCCGTCTGCGGCGGTCGTCGCCGCTGGGGCCGCCGCCCCCCCCCCCCCCCCCTCCCTCCCCCACGCCCCATTAACCTCCGCCGACTACGAGTCCATTGCTCGGCCGCGGGTGAGGCAACACTGCCCCCGGTGGTAAGTCCACATGACCCAGAGTAAAACTGGTCCGCAGAGAGGCGTGGCTGACCCGCTCTGGACAGCAGCCCGCGACAGCAGTGGTCTGGACTCCAGCGCGAGAGTGACTGACTGGCCGTGACAGTTATGAGAGGCGGCCAGGAGTGGCCTGGTCTCACTGTTCAGTGTTTGCTGACGGGGATTGCTGCATGTGGCTGCTGGCTGTCTGGAAATATCTCGGCGCTGCGGCTATTACCGGGCTTGGTTACAGAGAGTGGTGAATCTCATTAAGCAAAGCTACAGCTCAGCTCTCCTCTGATAGCAGGGTGTTGATGTATTAGCAGGAAGTGGGCCAGACCGCCTTTGATTACAATGTTTCGGTCATTCATGAAAATGAACAGTCCGTGAAACGAAGTTAATGCATTAAAAGAGCTCAGTCGCAGGCCATGATTTCGTGATGCGGAGTCGTCCACAGTTTGCAACTTGCAGTATTGGACTACCACGGCGAACGTGCTGTTGCTGATGGCTGTAAGGCGGCCGTACCGCATGACGAGAGACTGTTGCTGATGGCTGTCGAGCGGCCATATCACATGACGAGAGGCATCACCGACGCATGGTTTCTAAACTTCTATCTTCAGGACAGTGACAGTGACGGCAGGACAGTGGCGACCAGGGCAAGACACGGGACGTTATTTGTGAACTCCCGGAGGGGCTCACAAACCAAACGTCGGAGGGGTTGGGCTCTGCGTAAATCGAGCTGGAGCTCGATGCGTGGAATGATGTGGAGCAAGCCACTTCTTTATATCGCGTAAATGTTTCGGATTATAGTACAATTTGCTTATGTTAATATTCATGCTGCAAGGAGCCTGCTAAGTTGTGTTCGCTACATGAACCCAATGGAAAACAAGGACCACATAATGGCAGTTTAGTTGCCAC